ACATTGATGACCATCTGGTGCAGGGGTCAGGGGTGTTTCCCCCCATTTTGGGGGGTTAGGGCAGTTCTGGGAGGTTGACCACATTGATGACCATCTGGTGTGGGGCCTGAGGGAGGGGTCAGAGAGGGTCAGGGGTGATTCCCCCCATTTTAGGGGGGTTCTGGGGGGGCTGACCATGTCGATGACCATCTGGCGCAGGGCCTGGCGCTGCCGCCGCGACAGGTTCTGAAAGATGTCACAATTCCTCTCCTGGAGCAGCTTGAAGCCGACAGCCAAGTGGTGATTCTCCAGCACGGACTCGTCGTTGTACAGCAGTGCCAGCTCCGAGTCTGGGGGATCAAGGGAGTCACAGGCTGGGGGACCCTCCTCACCCCCCCAGGACATGGGGAGGGACACACAGAGGGAGGGGAGGGGCCCCCAGGGTAGGGGTGCAAGACAGTGCACGTGTCCTGTGTGCACAGTGCAAGATGCTGCATGTGCAAAGTGACATGTGTGTGATGGATGCCATGTGTGCAGGACAACACACATGCAGGACAACATATGTGCAGGATGACACATGCACAGGAGGCAGCTCACACTCACAGGACGCATGCAGGATGGTGTGTGCCCATGAGATCAGGAGTGTGGAAGGACCACACCTGTGTGGGATGGCACACGTATGTCAAGTGTATGCACTCACTGGTGTTGATGAGGAACTGGTTGGACACGCCAGGGTGGTCAACGTCGTGGATGGCAGCGGCAAAGAGGGCAGCCAGGACCTCCAGGTCCGTGAACACAGCCTGGTGGGGTGGAACATGCATCAACCCCTCCATTCCAAAACTCAGTGGAGACCCTCTCACCCTGTTATGGGTCCCCACACCCCATGATGTGTCCCCTGCAGTGGATCTCTGGGTCCCACCACCCAAAAAATCCCACCCATCGACCCAGGACAGGTCCCTGCTGTGTGTCCCCCACCCCATGATGGGTCCCTACAACAGGTGCTCCCAGCCCCCTGGGGCTTCCCCTGCCCTGTGGAGTGCTCGTAGCACTCACGTCAAGGGCTGGGGTGGCCAGCAGCACGTGTGTGGACTGCAGGACG